ACAGAAACTATATTCTTTGTCCTGAGTTGTAATATGTTTTTGTCTTGAGATAAAGTTGATCAGATTAAAAACAGAGATGAATGAATCGCTCACTAATAAACCTAAGAAGTCGACATGCAATTTAAAAACAATTCTATTTTGTTTACTATATTATATTTGCAGTATTTTAATCATAACCACTGGGTACATGTTTATGTCAATCAAATCTGATATTATTCCCTTTGATGTAAAAAACAATTAAAACAAATTTACCTCAGAGATGAAATAAAACAAATTTTGAGTTTGGATAGATTTTTTAAAAAATTGGTTTTGCCAAAAATACTGTAGATGCAAGATTTGCAATGAGATGTATGAGATCATAGTCAAATCTATATCTGAAAACAAACACAAAGTTTGCAAAGTTCACCTGATTCAAAATTAAAAGAAGAAGGAAATTCTCATCAACTAACATTGCATTTACATTTTATATTGCCCTAAAAATTCAAAGAAGAACTCACTTTTGATATTCATTTATATTCATAAAGTTATTAAAGTTAACATTTTAAAAGTCATTTTAACATTCAAATGAAAAGTACATGACTATACTTCTTAAGTATTTCTACTCCATTCCTTTTTAATTTCTAATGCAAAACCTGGAGCCACTCATTCAAACAATTGAACGAATTTGAATCCATTTACATAACAAAGCTTATATCCTAAAAGAATAAAAGTTAACAATTGAATTAAAGCTATTTTTTGAACGTATTTTTAAGCATTGTTATATATCGTTTAAAGTAGGGGGCTACTCGTGGTGAACCGGAAGCCGGATTTTGCCGTTTTCGGTTTAAAAATTATGGTACATATAACATTAGCAAAAATGTAAATAACGTCTGCAGAAATGTTGGAGGGGCGTATAAAGATGATTGGGTGTATTTTTGTGCAAGGATTGAAATAAATAAAGACTAAAAAATCAGGGTAAACAAATTAATTATTCTAATAGGAGGCTTTATTTGAATTTTGAGCTATGTTACTTTATTAGTAAAATAAGATTAATTCTTCAATATTTTCTTAGTTTTAAGCAGAAATGTGTACCGTAGCCTGAAATTATTAAATATTATCCTTATCCTTGTAATTTATGTTCAAAATAACTTATTTGCCATGTGCTTTGACATAAAATGTAGACCGTCTTTATAACAGTGATGATTTTGTTTTTTCTACAAAAGGGTACATGAGTGTTTCACACCCTAGCTCAGTAAAAATATCGAATACCTATCTACTTTTTGTGCTTTTGAAGTAGATAAAGTATCTATTAATGTAAATCAGGACAAAAATTGCACCGTTATCCAATTAATTCTAAGAGTAGGGACCTACCTTAAACTAAACCTAAGTCCACAAGTTACCAACATCTTATGTGATTGATTACGAGGGGTGATCAAAAAGTTCGTGAACTATCTACAAAACCACAATTCAGATTAGAATGAAATTCGGTACACACATAGCCATACACAATGTCTATAAATGGCATATGCTAAATAAAGTTCTTCTCCTTGTTCGTGACGTGACAATGTGAAAATGACGTCACTATGTAGGTCACTTGTGACGAAAAAATGGTTGTCTCTGTCGAACTCTTTCAACAAACGACTGTACAATTTGTTGTATATCTTAGAAATCCCTCTGCAGTATCATATGATAATGTGTACACAGTTTATTAAGATAAATGAGTTCCTATAAATTCAATTAATGATTGGATTGATCGTTTCAGTGATGGAAGGCAGATGGTTAAAAAGGATATTTATCATCTTGTTCAGTGAAAGCAAGATTGAATAGATATAGATATAGATAGATTTTTTAATTAAGCAATTTGCTATCAAAGACCTCCAATTTACACTTTGAAAAATAGTTGAATATTTGAACAATAATATAATTGTTAAATACCTAAGATATCGTTTATTTTAGATTTTAAACATATTAGATATGATAAAAAGGAGGCATCTATTCTCTATCCACCTTGAATAAAAGTCTCTCTCGAGACAGAAGATTTGTGTTTTAATGGTCGCCATGCTTATTTTTGGAAAGGATATTCTTATCCAACCATTCTGTTGCCGAGATTTGACCATTTCTGACAAATGAACTCTTCTTGTCATAAAAATTTACTCACATGGAAAGAAATATAAAACTCAGAAAAATCTTTCAACTTTTGTAAGAGAACGCTACGGAGGGGATCACGTGGCAGCCAATATCACGTGATTCGTGCATGCGCAGAACGGTGGTTGATGTGCATTAAAATCGGAGAACATTGAAACCAAATATTGTTTCTTTTATGGAAGTTATTGAATTAGTTCGCGAACTTTTTGATCACACCTCGTATTTACGAGTTATTGAAATTCATATGACGGTACTTCCGAAAGTGAAAATAAAATTTTCATAGTCTTCTTTGCGCATTTTGGGCAACAGCTTTCATATTCTATTGCGATATCATTCAATCCTTTTGACAAGGTAGCCCTTAGTTGGTCGAGAGTAGTTGAAGCATTCCATGGCCCCAACTATCAAATTAATCCAACAGATATTCGACTGGATTTATGGAAGGCGGCTGTTTTAATGAATAAGTATATCTGTAATGAAATTAATGAAGATAACGATCGGCAAAGGATACACGGACCTCTAAAAAATCATAGGTGGGATCGGGTGCGATGGAGCAGTGTGCATCCCCTGACGACTGGTCCCAACCGGCATGTATTCCTGTCATGATCGGGAACTAACGGAAAATATTCGTCGACAATTAAGAGTGTAAATAATGGCATAACAATTAGTATAATAAATGTCAGTCAGCATTTGACTTTATTCTTGATTTCATATTTACTGACAAATTCTTAAGAAGCCACCAAATGATGACTTTTAAACGAGACTGCTGATATTCTTGTTTTATCAACTTGTTCGTCATAAACTTACTTCGTTCATAAATAGAACATGTTCTTGTCTATCGAATCAACTTAGAGATATAAACCCCGTATGCAAGCGATAAAGGTATATTGCTGCAAAGGTAAGGGAAGTTGACTTAAGGAATAAGTCATTACATTAAATTTTATCATACAGACAAAACGTGCAATCGTGATGTGACTTTGTTATGCGCCGAAATCAAGGTCACAGTCAATTCAAGATACTCTGACGACTTAACAATGTTATTTGATAGAGCAAAATCTTCGTTCTCCATTGTTTGTCGTTGTTGTTGTCGTGAACCTTTTGAAAATTTGTTTTCTTCTCTGAACCACTGAGCAAATTTAAACCAAACTTTAAACAGATGAATATTGTAAAATACATTGTAAATTTAAAGGGATCCAAATAGTTTAAATGAAGGCGATATAAAAGAGGAGATAATAACAAAATACAGTGGACCTTTAGATATCCGGATGCCTCAGGATCCGGACGATTTCAGATATCCGGGCGCTTCACATATCCGGACAAATTGACTTGGAACCAAAGTGTCCGGATAAATGAGGCTCCACTGTAGTAAGAGTTGGGTTTTGCCATTCATTTAAAAATCTTCTTCGTAAAAACCAATAAAATAAAAAATGACTGGAGAACCTCTGGAACAGAAAAGAAATTAAACTAATGTGAAAGCTTCCTGACGTAGTGTAGATATACGTTTGGTAAATCACGACTCAAGGGGCATGTGTGGATCAAAAATTAAATATTAATTATTATATGGGAATATGAAGGAAATCTTTTCAAAAAAGACAGCAAAGCTATGAAAAATTATATTAATATGAAAATACCTAAGGTAGTGGGATTCTAATTTATTCAAATGTTGTCCTCCAAGGGTAGAGCGGAGCCACAATGAGCAAAAGAGTTTTAACAAAAGTCATTTCTTAAAATATCCTTCAATTAGGGCATGTAAAGCCAAAATCAATCATACAATAAGGAAACATGTTGAAATATGGCCATTTTTGGTTAATATTTGTCCAGAAATTTTTAGAATACAAAAATGAAAAAAAGTTAATGGTTTGAATGTATATGACTGCTTATCTAGGGGATGTCCACTATGTGATTTGAAGTTACAACACATATTTAAAATCAAGCGCCCTGCCGATGTCAATGGCTAACAAAATAACATGCCAACAGGAGACTGGCCTCACTAGAAATCACTTTAAGTCTTCAAGATATTTTCTCTCTCATTTATTTGATACATATTACCCTTATGAAGATTAAACATCACATTTGGTTTTCGACAATTTATCGGAGTGAATGTCTATTTGTGGCTTAATCCTACATTATCCTCCGATTTAAAAATGGTCTGCCATTCGTGATTAAAGGTGAACATAAAAACAAGTGCTTGTTAAAATGTGACTCAACTCTACATAATATGTCACTTCAGCTCACTTTTACTTGAGATTTCCTTCCTCTATTAACTATAAAATCACTTCTCATATGCTTTTCTGTAATTGTACGTCAGATTTACCTATTAATGGACTCTTTATTTTGTGGTAGATCTGTTTTAGTGATATTTGTGGGTACATGTAGTTCTCACCCACAAATTAATATCCTTCACGAATTAGCAAATTATGGTTACAAAGCCGTGTTTCTTCTTACAGTTTAATAGAATACACGAACGCAAGACTAGTATCCACAGACCTGTAAAATTAATGAAATCCACGAAAATTTGACCCAACGAATTTAAGTTTAATTTCATATAGAGGATGCCTAATATGGCCTTAATCTAATAAAAATCCAGTAGAGATCTACCATCTGAATTAAAAATTTACAGTGTGACAAGAAGTGTTATCTTGGAATACCCAACGTACTTTTACTTTATGTACACATTTTAAATGATTAACTGTATGTTGTTTAACGTCCCATTCGGGAATTTTTCAATCAAATGGAGACGCCACCACTTGCCGGTGAAGAGCTGCAAATGTTGCCCAAAACTCGGTCCTACGGCCATTGAGCAGTGAATAATAGTTATAAATATTAAAAACAGAACAATTTGTTCGAACTTTAATATAAGGAATTATGTTGAACAAAAATGAATGGAGTCCAATTATTTGATGATACATCTAGTTGATCTGATAAATAGTAGTGTAACGCTTTGAGTTACATACATGTCCATGTGATGAATACATGGCAACAAGTTCATCGTGTGTTATGGAGACCATAGTCGGATTGGAGTCGATGATATCGATCACATTTTTCTGTAAAATATAAAATTGGAAAACGTTTAAGCAAGATGAATTCATTCAAGCGTATAATTAAAGGGTTTCACCCAGATAGCATGACTATGTTGGGCCAACATGTGTTAAAGGTTGTATGGTTGGCGTTGGAGGAACAACGTTGGGCCAAAGTTGGACCAATGTTACCAAGTCAACCTTCTCGATCATGACAGAATTCCTATGTTGGCCCAATGTTGGTCCAACGTAAGCAACTTCCATTCACTTTAGTTTCCAAGGAAGGATGGATCCTGGTGTTGGTCCAACGTTGGACCAATGTTTATAATACACCCTTAAAGAAAAGTGTATTTACAAGTTGGTAGTAGTATGTTGGCCCAACGTTGGCCCATTGTTTGTTATACACCATTAAAGAATGTGTTTTATAAAGTTGGTAGTAATATGTTGGCCCAACGTTAGCCCATTGTTTGTAATACACCCTTAGAGAACGTGTCCCATTAAGTTGGTAGTATTATGTTGGCCCAACGTTGGCCCATTGTTTGTAATACATCCTTAAAGAATGTGTCTTATCAGGTTGGTAGTAATATGTTGGCCCAACGTTGGACCAATGTTTAAAATACACCCTTAAAGAAAAGTGTATATACAAGTTGGTAGTAGTATGTTGGGGCATCGTTGGCCCGATGTGTGTAATACACCCTTAAGGAATGTGTCTTATCAAGTTGGTAGTAATATGTTGGCCCAATGTTGGCCCATTGTTAGTTACACGCCCTTAAAGAACGTGTCCTATCAAGTTGGTAGTAATATGTTGACCCAACGTTGGTCCATTGTTTGTAATACACCATTTATGAATGTGTCCCATCAAGTTGGTAGTAGTATGTTGGCTAAACGTTAGCCCATTGTTTGTAATACACCCTAAAAGAATGTGTCTTATCAAGTTGGTAGTAAAATGTTGGCCCAACGTTCGCCCATTGTTTGTCATTCACCCTTAAAGAATGTGTTTTATAAAGTTGGTAGTAATATGTTGGCCCAACGTTGGCCCATTGTTTCTAATACACCCTTAAAGAACGTGTCTTATCAAGTTGGTAGTATTATGTTGGCCCAACGTTGGCCTATTGTTTGTAATACACCCTTAAAGAATGTGTCTTATCAAGTTGGTAGTAATATGTTGGCCCAACGTTGGACCAATGTTAGTAATACACCCTTAAAGAAAATGTCTTATCAACTTGGTAGTATTTTGTTGGCCCAATATTGGCACAATATTTGTAATACATCCTTAAAGAAAGTGTCTTATCAAGTTGGTAGTATTATGTTGACCCAATGTTGGCACAATATTTGTAATACACCCTTAAAGAAAATGTCTTATCAAGTTGGTAGTATTATGTTGGCCCAATGTTGGCACAATATTAGTAATACACAAGAGTGTTATTTTGTTTAGGTGTTTTAAAGATGAGATATTTATATTGGGCCAACGTTGGTCCAATTATTATACTGCCAGCTAATTGATGGTGTTAATTTTATAATTAGCTTCTGAGCTTTACGTTTGGACAACATTGGCACATTCTGAAATAATTAAGAAGACTTTCTTTGTCCATGCTTATCATTGGATGCCTGCTTTTGTTTAGATATATTTTCAAAATTTTAATTTATATATTTGCACTTAAGTGATCATAGCACCAAAGAGTGTTTTATTCTATTTTTTGAAATTGTGTTTATGCTTATTTATTTGTAATAATTCCCAGATAGCAGAACATCGTTTGCCAAATCTTACATTATGTTTCTATTCTGTTGGGTTACCTTGATTGGGCCAACAATGGCCCAACATGGAATATTGATAGCTGGTTATGTATAATGGTGCGCTAATGTTGGGCTAACTGTTGACATGATATCATAAAACTATTATCATGAAAATGTTTGTTTGGGGATTGGCATCGGCCCTACGTTGGCCCAATATACCATGAATCTGACTGAGCATCATGGGTAGACAACAACCGGGCTACTTGTAATATCCGCGCCATTTTTTATCTGACACGAGCGAGCGTAATGAGACTGATACCTTGCATATATCTGCAACCACTTTGTAAGTATTTATAATATGTTTGCCTCGGCACAGCTGAATTAACGTTTAGTTTTTAAACGATATTATGTACAAATCTGTGTAAATCAGACACGGGGAAGTGCAGAGGCCAGGTGCTGTTGGGTCAACACTGTACCCCAGATAGAATGCTAACATTGGGCCAACGTTGGGCCAATGTAATTGGTTACATCGGGCCAATGTTGGCAAATGACATTGACCCTATTTAAGTTTGCTCATCGGCCCAATGTTAGCCCAATATGTTGGGCCAACGTTGGCCCAATGTAGAGTGTTTTTTCTACAGATATTGGCCCAACGTTGCACCAACATCGGCCCAATGAATGCGACATTGTTGGCGAAACGTCAACAAGAACATTGGGCCGATGTTGGCAAATGACGTTGGTCCAGTGTCATTTTCTTCCTTGGCCCAATGTTGGCCCAATATATTGGACCAACATTGGGCCAATGTGTATAAACATTTAATTGTTACAAATCTGTATATAAACAAATCTGATTGTCTCTACAATCAGAAATAAATCTACAACCAATCCTACTTGAAAATACAAGCTAGCTAAAATAAATTTAAAATTCTTATAATTTATCAAAACAAAATAAATTATCAGTGATTAAATGTTTTTGTTTCTATACAAGAAAAATAAATGAAAGTATAAAATAACAAACGTGTTTTGATACGGTTTAAACAATGAATAATTTGCCCCTTATTTAGATTGAAATCTGTGTCTAGTAGAATGCATTTCAGAAGTCTACCACTTAATTTACTTATATACACTTAACGTCAAGTACATGATCAAACATTTTGAAAATGTTGAACTTGTTGAAGTTAAAACAAAATTAATTCAGTACTTAACATAAATTGGGTTCTTTCATTTAAGATTTGTTCAGTGTAACGACAAATTTTCAATACATGAATTTTATATGGGGCAACATTGAATCAAAATCGTTGTGATGATGATGATCAAGCGTAGAAATGTTATGCATAAATGCCTTCATCACGCAAGCTTATCACTTAATCACACCATGAAATAAAAAAGACGGTTATTCCTTAATTGACAGCTTAAACATATAGTGATATACTTATAAATTTAATCGTATGTTTACTTTTTACTGAAAAAGTAACAAATGTATTAAGTACCAAATACTACAATTTTAGTGCTACTGGAGATTCTAAAAAGACATTGAGAACGCAATCAAAGAATAGCTAAGGTATGCCATGGACAGGGATATGGGGGAGGGAGAAACAGACAAAGAAGAAAAGAAGGGGGCGGAGGAGACTCGGGAGAGAGAAGAGAAGACTTAGGAGAGGGATCAGATGGAAAGTGGCAGTGCCTAACTTTTTTTCTGTAATATAGTGTGACATACCTGTAGTTCTACCCTTTTCTGTGTCTTTTTGTCGGTTACAAACACGATGCAGATGTCAGAAACATTTTTGTGTAAGTAATCAAAATGACGGGATTCATTTTAGTATTATTTTAAGAACATGAGGGTTTGGATTATTTGTTAGACGTGCTTATTGATACTTGTAATTTAATTAACTTTTGCATCAATTTACAGCAGAGAGGGAGTACACAGTCATGTAACCGTACATGTATCGCTTGAAGTGAGCACCAACTTTTAGTTCTTAAATGTTTTCTTCATGCACTGAGCAATAAAATTATAGTATGTTGTAATTTAATTTTGTATTTTGATTTCTTTTTCATCAGTTTTTTAATTAATGTAGAGCTACTTACAATGCAATGCTTGTTGATGGCAATTCTATGAGATACTAGTATTAAGAATATGTATTAAACTAATAATCTAGCATATATAGCATATATAGATAGTATTAAAGGACTTTTACCATTAAACTGTACTACAAAACTAGTACAACCTTATTGTATATATTTTTTTGTCAATTTTGAGGACAAATGGCCAGCAATCAAGAGCAAATGAGTTGTCATGATGGAGAGCCAATAAGATACAAACCAACGTTGGCCTAAAATTGATGTTTTCCTAATATTGAAAGAATAAGTGGCCCAACAATGGCTCAATAATATCCGTTCGTTGGTACAACAATAAGCAAACAAGTTGGTCTGATTAAGGGCCGATGAGCAAATTACCGTTGGCCCAACATTAATTGCTAACAATGGCCCAACTGTACAAAAATGGCGTTTGCCCAACATTGAAAAAAATACATTGGCCCAACAGTGGCCTAATATTAACTGTTACATTGGCCCAACAAAAAGCCAACAAGTTGGTTTGTTTAAGGGCCGATGAGCAAATTACCGTTGGCCCAACATTAATTGCTTACAATGGCCCAACTGTACAAAAATGACGTTTGCCCAACATTGAAAAAAATACATTGGCCCAACAGTGGCCTAATATTAACTGATACATTGGCCCAACAAAAAGCCAACAAGTTGGTTTGATTAAGGGCCGATGAGCAAATTACCGTTGGCCCAACATTAATAGCTTACAATGGCCCAATTGTACAAAAATGACGTTTGCCCAATATTGAAATAATACATCGGCCCAACAGTGGCCCAATATTAACTGTTGCATTGGCCCAATAATGAGCCAACAAGTTGGTTTGATTAAGGGCCGATGAGCAAATTACCGATGGCCCAATGTTGAATGCAAACGGTGGCCCAACATAAGGAGCATTGTTGGCCCAACAAAGGTCCAATAACATTCTGCTATCTGGGCATCCACTTCTTTCAAGACAAAAAAGTTTGTTTTCTTTATGTTGCATCGGATATGTAACTAATGTGTTACAAACGGACATAAAGTATAAAACATGGATGTAGTAACTCATTCTTGTGTCCATTTGTGGGTGAGCGAGTTGATTCTGAGCGAAACAGAAGTGATTTTATATGTATCGGGATTGATGTAGAATGCTACCTTGATTTATAGAATATGTTCTTTGCGAGGGGATGCCGCGCCTTGCGATGGCCTTGTTCAGTGTGTATAAATATATCTTCAATTTTCAAAAAGAAAGTGGCAGTTTTCGTTTAATAAAATCAATTTGTTAATACAGTTGTCAACTTAAAAAAACTCTAAAATGGAAATAGAAAAAGGTAAGTAGATGTAGTAAAATTATCTTAGTTTTACTCTTAATGCGTCCCAATGGAATACAAATGTATTTACAAGAATTTGGTTTACAGTTTTATATTGTAACAAATAATTTTTTACGTCTTGAATGATTCCTTTCTCTTGCTTATAATATATAAAAAGATGTTTGTAAAACATTTTGTCATTCCAGTGAACCTATTTTCAAGTTTTATTAAGAGATCTCGCTCTTTTGCGAAACAGATTGGCAAACATGGATCAGCTTGTTCGGATTATTTTGTCTAATTGTAAAGAACTCAAGAAGGTTTAGTTGTCAATAAGTTATTCCTGGATTTGCTCAATATTGTGACTAACTTTTTCCGATCATAATTTTGGACTATATTAAATTTATAATTGGCATATTGTTTAATTTCTTTACCTCGATTGTATGAAGTCCATGTGACGAATGAATGTCCATCTGTTCCTGGGAACTTGTTTTATACAGGTAACAAGTATGTCCAGATCTTACTGACAAAACATGCTGCAATGAAATGTTTTAAAAAGCTAATAACAATGTGTCCTTAATAAGCAAACTTCACTTTGCAAATAATTAAAACATCAGACTATCCGCAACAATAGACTATTGATTTTGTGAAGGAAAAGCGTTCACCACAAGTACACTGAAATCTGATAACCTTGAAGTCTGCCCATTAGAAGTGATGAGAATTTTTACCGTGTGATGGTCGTAGTAGAATGAGAATTTTTACCGTGTGGTGGTCGTAGTAGAATGAGAATTTTTACCGTGTGGTAGTCGTAGTAGAATGAGAATTTTTATCGATTGGTGTTCGAAGTAGAATGAGAATTTTTACCGTGTGGTGGTCGTAGTAGAATGAGAATTTTTACCGTGTGGTAGTTGAAGTAGAATGAGAATTCTTACCGTGTGGTAATCGTAGTAGAATTAGAATTTTTACCGTGTGGTAGTCGTAGTAGAATGAGAATTCTTACCGTGTGGTAATCGTAGTAGAATGAGAATTTTTACCGTGTGGTAGTCGTAGTAAAATGAGAATTCTTACCGTGTGGTAATCGTAGTAGAATTAGAATTTTTAACCGTGTGGTAGTCGTAGTAGAATGAGAATTTTTACAGTGTGGTAGTCCTAGTAGAATGAGAATTTTTACCGTGTGGTGGTCGTAGTAGAATGAGAATTTTTACCGTGTGGTGGTCGTAGAAGAAATAGAATTTTTACCGTGTGGTAGTCGTAGTAGAATGTGAATTTTTACCGATTGACGTTCGAAGCAGAATGAGAATTCTTACCGTGTGGTAGTCGTAATAGAATGATAAAGATTCTCCTACAGACGCCTCGTGAGTGGGGCGTGTTCCGTGGGAATGTGTGCGATGGGCATGCGTGGAATGCTGTGGCTGTTTGGTGGTTGTAGCAGCCATAGTCTTTAAAGAAATATTTCTGTTATTAAATTAATTATTGATTTAAAAAAAGATTTTATACCGGGTATATTTAATGCTTGCAAATTGGTGTTTTATAAGAGATAACTTTAGAAAACTCTTCTTTGAATTCTTTTTTTCAAATTATACTACATTTATTAAAATTCTTGATTTTTTTTATCAAAGCATTTTGGGTGTAGGAATTCTTTTTTTTAAATATAGTTTTTAGCTACAAAAGTGGGCCTTACAAGGCATGCACAGCCGTTCATTCACTATCATAATTTTTTTAATGACAAATAAAACCCACAGCACACAAAGGTTCCTATTGGCTAATCCATCAAAATTAATACTAGTACTGCAATAAAGAAAAATAATATTGTGGGCTACCTATAATTCTTTACAGAAATTCTTTTTATTACTATCTCCATTTTTACGCCTAAAACTAAGGATTTATGTTCATTATCTGCTCCTAATTTAGTATTTAGCCATTTCTAAAAATGTTCCCGTAGTATTTTTTAGATTTACTCACCACATAAACGCAACACAAAAATAGAACGATTCTCGGCATTTTTTATTCTTCTTCAGCTAGTTCTCTGGAGAAATGTGAATCGTGAAGGTACAAGTTCTCGTTTTATATTAATTGGCTTAGACTTATTTCTTATCCTGACAGTCAATAAGTGCTCCCTAAAAGTGCTCACGGAATACTCTTTTTGTTCTCTTTAAATATGTCCCTTTCAAACTAGAATAGTGTCCTAAAGCGACCTATTTCCCAAGCAGAAGCAATATCGAAGCAAATTAAGACTTGGAAAAGAAGGCAAGACTGTTTGGAATTGCTTAAGAAATAAATAATTTGATTTGATACCTTCTCTTATATCCAATGTTTTTTAAAAATCTACTATATATCAAGAAATTATCTGATAAAAGAGATTTAACTGTCAGTTTATTTATCACCGTTTGAGAAATTTTGAACGATCTTCAAGTCCTCCTTTATATGAAAAATAAACGTTTATCAACACGAAATTAAATGATTAATCAGAAGAACAAGAAACACTGTGAAGATTTTTTTTCATGTGGTCAATATCAAAGCACTGTAAAATTGTTTGTAATGGAAAATTTTAGATGCAGCGGTAAAGGAATACAGTAAACTTGTCCATTATCTGTAGGACATGCTAGATGTAAACTTAAGATTTAATTTTAGCATTTTCAGGGAAGATGTTGAGATCGCTAAAATTTCATATCGCTAAAAATTAATTATGTTTTATTTGTAAAAGCTTCTTTAGTGAACATTTTAAAATCGCTAAAATTGCATTTCGCTAAAAAATAAAACCCCTATTTTTCTTTGGACAAATCGCTAAATTTGCGTCTCACCAAAATTTCCACTTATACGGGTATGTTGGAATAATATAGTCATTTATACATTATTAGTCGTATTTATAAAAAAAATCTACATAATTTAATCTTTAATTTGGTGTTATTACAATGCATTATTTTATCTCTGTTCAGGTTTTGCATGCCGTTAGTACACTTTATTGCATAAAAATATGATCGACAAAAAGGACATTTAGTATGTGAAAGTTCATAGCGAACGTAAATAATACGTACTGTATTCCGTGAGTACTTTTAGGTGAGCACTAACTGACTCTGGGGATATGAGATTTGTGATAAGTTAGATGGTCATCTAAAATTAGTTTCCCGCGTGGTTATTCACGATTCCCATTTCTCTAGAAAATCTAAAAGAAAAACAAAGGTATGCTAAGAATACATATGGCAAATAGATTCAGGGAAAGGGCCATGGATTACAGTATTCACCTAAGAAACTTAATCCCTACTGATCTTTCCATCCTTTTTTATTCTATGCCCACAAAATCCATGATTAAGAAACATAGTTTTTGTTCCGTCTGTATGTCTATTTATTGACTGTATTTTTGTCCGTTTAGCTGTTTATTAGAAAATACTTTATTCGTGGCCATTACTTTGATTGGTAAAAGCTATTTCTAACACATTTCACAGGTGTATTTCTTGTGATCAGAATTTTATTTGAGACAAACTTGACTTTGACCTTGGAGTTTGAGATGTTACATATTCAAAGAAAAATAAATATACTCCACTGTCAGTTGAGAAACTTCTCTATAGGTAGTAATCTTAATGCAGTTTTGTATAATCATAACTTAGTTTATTCTCCTAAATGCTTAAAATGTGGTTATTTTTTTGAAGACTCTTTTCATTTTTTCTTTCAATGCCCATGTTATGATCTTGCCAGGCACTCTTTGATTGCATATATGAGTGACCATGACATAACAAGAGATGTCAATATTGTATTATCTGGTTATGATTGTCTACCCCTTAGTGAAAATATGTTGACATGTTCTTTGACCAAGTTCATAATTTTATAAAAAAAAAAAAAAAACACTAAAAGATTTTAGAATTAGAAAATATATGAAGTATTGTGTAGCATGTCTTTCAATCTTGACCTTCAGCATGTTCAGGTTAAAAGTACATAAAAAATTTCAAGTATGGTTCTGAGCCTTCCCCACATATTCTTATTCTTCTTCTTATCTTTTCTCTTTTTTGTTCTTTTTTCTTTCTATAATTTTTTTCTTTTTTGTTCTTTGTTTTTTCCATATTTTTTTTAAAATTAAATTTTATTGTTTTCTCTACCCACTGTTTTCCCTCAATTTTCCTTCAATTATGTACTGTTTAATTCTTTTAATATTAGTTTATAAATATATGTCTTTTAGAACTCAAATATGTAAAATGTACCTTGATCTCAAATGGAAAAAACTAATATAGGCCGTTGGCCTGCTGTTCAATCCATGTTCATTGTATACTTTTTTTGTATATTATGAATGAAATAATTCTTAAACTAAACTACACATTCAAAATATGCCAAACTTTAATTTTGTCTGTAACGTACGATGTGTTGCATAGCCCGCTTTAAGAAGTGCTTAGAGCGTCTGATTTAGAGTCGCGGAGTAAGTTGACAGAATATTTATTCCACTGTGGGCCGTGGAGACCGGTTTTTCGGATAAGACCGTCTCAACGGAAGTACCTGTCGCAGCTGGTGCTGGCACGAAAAAGATCCCCCACTACTCAATGCCTTTGATTACCGAGTAAAGGACAAATTTTGCAGTTTTCCACTGGCAAGTAGTGGAGTCTCCATATGAGAGAAATTTTTTCATAGAGGGACGTTAAAAAAAAAACAATCGAAAGAATCCAGCGAAAACTTTCATCCTTTATATTTCTATTTCTTGTTTCTTGGTAGAGTTATGGTTATCAAATATCACAAGTATATTTCTTTGTCACGGTCATCCCTTGGGAACCTCTTGGACTAAACGCTCACCTGAATTTAAAGTAAAGAAGGATTATAACTCCATCCACAGAAACATTTGAAATTACGATGAAAAAGACCACGAAGAACTAATTAGGATATAAAATATTACATTTATATAGTTATCAAAGCATACTTTGTTATAGGGTCATCAACTGTTCCATCAAGAATAAATGTATGGTGAGACCGCAATGGTCAATCAAAGATTTGCCTAGGAATGTATAGGATTTTAAGAACAAAGTTTCTGCTTAATAAAGGAGAAGCTGTGATTGAATGAATGGTAACATTTTTTGTGGAAACGTACTATATGGTAGTGTAGAATCAAGTCTCTTCAATTCGTAACCCCCGGGGACAGGGCGGGGCAACAAGGGACAATCAAAGTTTTATAAAGAAATACATATTTAGGAAGAAACATTAAAAACTCTCTCAACAACAGCAAAGCTGTGTTTAATCATAATAATGTAAACTTAGAAGCATCTGCAGATACATTATGTAATGCAGACTTCAATTAGTTCATATTATGATAACCATTATTAGATGGGGCTACTACAGGTTTAAATGTTAACAAAGAAATAAAAAGATTCTTCAATTTTTCTCAAAAACAACAATGTTTTGATTTTACATATTAATTCAAAAACATCCTCAGATAATGTTGGATTAAATCTTGTGCCGCTAGTAGAACAAGGCAAAATAAAAGTTAAAAATATAGGGAAACTCTTGCCAAATCTATTTAGGTTAAGATTAGTCACATAAATATTGGAGCAACCTCGGGTAGTGTTGATTCAAGTTTGTTTGAAATAACCCTTCCCGAGATAAATTTTATATTTTAACTTATCAAACTGAACTTATTTCTGCTTTTATCTCCTTTAAGTTCTCAAGTTATGGTTGTCCCTATTTCAGGATTATTTCTAATATTATCTTTGTTTGATGATGTTTTTGTTCTCTTCACCCCCGAAACATATACATGTACATGTTAAAATATGAAGTACTTGGTTAAAATTGACACGGCAGGTTTCAAAATAGAGAAGATAGCAATAATCTGCAGGGTAAATCGAAAAAAAGAACTTTTGAGCAGTGAACCTTATTCAGCTTTCAGATAAAAAGCAAAGGAATTTCAATCATAATTAAAAAAAATCAATATCTTTCAAGTCAGGTTAATTTATATATCAGCACAATATATCCAAGAAATCATGAAATAAAAAGTACCAAAGAACATATATATATTTCAGACCATTACCTCACTTTATACCTCTCGTAAACCTTGTTACAATTTGTTCTTTATGAATGTTTTAAAAATCAAAACAAAAAAAATTCTTTAAAGCTTTAATATCATCAATCATTTGTTAACAAATACAGGTAAATGAGTGGAACCCACTAATTTGCTTTTGCAAACTAGTTAATCTGATAAATATGGGTGTAGCGCGTCGGGTTACATAGATGTCCAAGTACTGCATGCATAGCAACCAGAGCATCGTGTGTCATGGAGACCATTTTGGGATTGGAGTCGATGATATCGATCACATTTTTCTGAAAAAAAAAGAAAAATGTAAAACATTAAAAACAAGATAAACTCCTTCAAGCGAATTATATTATAGGTTTCATCCACTTCTTTCAAGAGGTGCGGTGCCCTTATTTAATATTGTAATATAAAAATTTATATACTCAATTTCAAGAAAGAAGTAGTGATTGTTATTTTTCGTGTCATTAAAATCGTCAATAAAGTTTTCAATTTTGAAAACACCCCTTAAGGTAAATAAAAAAAAGATTTTAGTCTATAATGGTTCCCTTTTCATTGTTAAAAATGATGTTTGTAAATCATTTTGTCATATCAGTGAACCTAATTTCAAGTTATTTTTAGTCGAGGACTAGCTCAGTTTTATGGCTTTTATGAAACAAATTGGCAAACATGGAGCAACTTGTTCGGCTCTTTTTGTCTATTTGTTAAGTACCATAAAAGAAGCTTTAGTTGTCTATGAGTCCAATACTAGTATTATAACTACCCTTTTTCTGACCAAAATAATATTGCGCTTTTAGACAACATTAAGTTGATCAATAGCATATTGTTTAATTATCTTTTACCTCTATTGTATGAAGTCCATGTGACGAATGAATGTTCATCTGTTCCTGTGAGCTTGTTTTATACAGATAACAGGTATGTCCAGATCTTACGGACAAAACATGCTGTAATGTAATGTTTACAAAACGTTCATCAGAATTTGTCTTAATTAAACTTACAAAATTTACAACTTCAGACTCTCTGT